GGAGGAGGAGGAGGAGGAGGGGGAGGAGGGACAGCAGGTGGGAAAAGTGGGAGGATGGAGGAGGGAGGAGGGGGAATAGGCGGATGATGAGGAGGAGGGGGAGGAGGAGGAGGATGAGGAGGGGGAGGAAGAGAAGAGGAAAGGAGGAGGAGGAGGAGGATGAGGCTGATAAAGTGGAGAAGGAGGAGGAGTAGGCCGACAAGGAGGAGGAGGAGGAGGAGGAGGAGGAGGAGGAGAAAGATGAGAAGGAACAAATACAGTGACGTGCACAAGAGCCTCCTAGGGAGTCCCTTGGAAGTTGTTTTGGGGTCCTCTTGGAGCGCCTGGGGGATTCTTGGATGCCTCGGGGATCCTCTTGAGGCCTCTTGGGGGTCTAGGGAGCCTCTTGAGGGCCTCTTGGGGGCCTCTTGGGGCCTCCTGGGCGCCTCTTGAGGCCCTCTTGGGGCGCTCTTGGGAGCCTTGGGAGCGCTCTTGGGGCCATCTTGGAGGTGATCGATCAAAGGAAGGGGGCCCCCCAATTAGCGTCCCCCCTCGGGAGCCTCTAAAATCAATTCTTGGACCCCGTTTGGGACGTTCTTGGAGCGCTCTTGGGCGCTCTTAGGGCCGTCTTGGGGCCATCGTGGGCCTCTCTTGGGCCTTCTTGGAACCATCTTGGGTCCTCGAATGGCCATCGGAAGCGAAAAAGGCGAGACAGCAACACATTGATTTGCCTTAGGTTTTGGTGCCATTTTGGCCTCTTGGGGGGCCTCCTTGGGAGGCTACGTGACCAATTGGAGTCGTCTTGGGTTGGTCTTGGGGCCTTCTGGAGCATCCTCGGGGCCATCTTGAGGCGTCGTGGGCTGCCTTGAGCCACCTTGGAGGTCATCTTGGACTCTCCGAGGCCCTCTTGGAACCATCTTGGGCCATCTTGGGCGCTCCCAGCTACCAGCGAACCCCCCCGCCCAGGTCCCGGGGAGGGGGTTATAAGGGGCAAACCCCCACCCGAAGGGGAAGAAGGACAGATGGAAAAGGAAACTCCCTGCACCACCTACGCCCAGAGGGCTGGTGGGATTTTGGATGAGCCTCTGGAGGTCACACTTGCGTTTCTGAAGTCTCCCCTGGGGCACGCGGCGATCTGAACCAGGACGCCAAGAACTAAACGGATGACGGTTTGGTGTTTGTGTTTTCCCACAGGATGTTGGCGGAGGATGCGGGAGTGGTTTCCAAGGTTGCCATTGCCGACAATTGAGGCCCCTGGCTCCTTGAGGTCAACAGTTGCCCCCAAGAGCCCACGAACTCAGACCGCTTCGTGGGCAGGGGTGACCATCGGGCGACCTGGAAGGGCGTCTCATTACCCCCCCCCCGCCCCCCTACGCGCGCTCGGTAGAAGCCCTTACTGCCTAGATACTAGATCCGAGTCTGGGACTGTCCGCACGGCCCCCAAAGTTGCCCTTCAAGAGTTCCGCTTTGTATTTGGCAAACCCGAACGTATTCGACAAGGCGCAGCTCTGCATCTTGCGATCCAGGTGGGTGCGGGAGAACAGGGAGGACGCAAGAATGAACAGAACTTGAAATCGAGTTGACTGAAATTGAAGACGGCAGGGGGTGACCAGAGAGAATGAGAAGGGTGAAAGTGAGAAGGGGGGGAGGGTGCAGACAGGCACGCCAGAAGTACAGACGCTTTCCAGTTGTTTGCAAATTGCCTGGCCATATATCATTGTGATGTTGATGTTGTTGATGCTGATGTTAGTTGATGCTGGTGTTGATGAAGATTATGTTGATCACAACTTGGCAAAGTACGACCTGGTCTCCACAGTTGGAAGGATGCGCAAACGATCAAAAATTGACTTCTCCCACGTGGCCCTGTGGGCGCCGCCTGCGATATCTGCGAGAGTTGCGTTAAGCGACTCGTCCAAAAAGCACGAATAAAAAGAAGGATTGCCGCACCAATGCATTCGAATGTTCAATTCAATGAACATGTGGTGCTTTGGCTGCAGTTCGACTCCAGCTTGTTTCATTAGCTCGTTGTGCCGAAGGCTGATCTCCAGCAACCTGGCCCGCGTGGGCCTGGGGATCTCTCGTGGGCTGTCTTTTACTGTGTTTTTCCATTCAAGGAGTGCCGCACCTGCTGCCTCCAACTCTTCGCCGAACTGCAGTTTGTCGGCGTACCGTGAGCAGAGATCCCGCGCCCACCCTATGAGCACTCCTGTTTCTGCTGCTTTTGTTTTGAGGTCTGGGCGCTTCCTGCTCCCAATCATACTCTCACTAAGTGTTTGCAATTGCATTGATTGCTCAACGTTGTTCCTTGCATACCACACCCGTAGGTCAGCGAAGAGGCGGCGGCAACAGTGATCTTTTAATGCATCCAGACCCCCGCTCAACTTGAGCGGATTCTCTTTCACAAACGCCCAAATGACTTCCATGACGTACCGCATGTAAACGCCCAGATATACAGTGCGAAGGGCATCGATGTGGATGCTATTAGGGGAGACGCCAGGCACGTCAAACAAGGGGCATCGGCGGACTACTGCATCTATGCACCTATGATGGTCGTCGTAGTGCCGCCTCCAGAAGATGACCGTGATAGGCAAGACAGCTTCCTCCAGGGCAAACGTATCTGGCAAGCTTTCCGATGGTTCGAGCCTGTCCCCCTTCTTCAATCCTAGGTTAGGTACGTCGTACTGGAGTACTCTACCTAGCGCCTCTTTCTTGGGATCACAGTGAAGGCCACCAATTTCGAACAACTCATTTCTAACATCGGAATCGTATAGCACAATATTAACTTCGCACATGCGGCATGCGGCCTCATACCAGTTGTTTTTTTTTTCTCCCCCAAGAATGCCCACTCAAAGTGACATTGTCGTAATTGTGTAACTCATGTTTTGAACTATTGCAAAAGCAACAGGGGTGAGAAACGCTGGCCCACGATGGAAATCCCAAACTTGAGCTGTACTCTGACCAATCACCCTTGATCTGGACCAGGATGAACCTCGCTGACAAGCGAGGGCTCTCCGCGCGAAGGCGACCGTACACTGACTCTGCTGGCCAGGGCCTCCCATCCCAAGTCATTGCAGGGCGGAGCCCATCTGCAGCGCAAGAAAAAGACCAAGCCAAATATTTGAAAATCGGCCATCTGCTGCAGTGGCCACGGCAGCCACATTTGCAGCCTTCTCTTTTTGACAAGACTGCAAGTAGATGTCTCCTATGCGACGTGAGCGAATGACACCAAAACCCGAGGGCTGTATCAACGCGGCCTGCACCTAGTGTCCTCGTAAAGCGGACTCCGTCCAAGTAGAACGCCAGTGGGATGATCGGGCGTTCATCCCCTGGCACAATGCGTTTAGGGTGGTCCCTGAACGCTGCAGTCCAATCAGACAATTCTCCCACAACTGTTGGTTCTGCTTCCGTCAAAGTCCCTTTGACGAATTCTGCTTCCAAAACTTCGTGTACAGAAACAACAGGCACTTGTTTTGTTCTGCGCTCTCCTCTAAGATATGCTGGCACCCCCACCGTCCCGAACTCTGGTATTGCTGCTGTCTTTGGAAGCACTCTGTCTAAGTGTTTTTTGTAGCTGCCAGTGCTTTTCCCCTCTGCGAAGGCCCATTTTTTTATGTTCGATCCTTCGCCGCCAGCTTTAATGATTTTGTCTGATACGATGCAGAGAGCCTTCGCGTCCATGCGAGCTGATGCATAGAGATGCAAAAGGTGCCTCTCCAAATCTTCACTGGCTTCTTCACTGACGCATTGTTTTTTCCGCTCAGAAGGATTAGAACTAGCACTCGTCTCCCATCTGAATGTTGCAGATGGCGGGCTTGCTGGACGACCTCTCTTTCCCATCACAACGGCACAAGTGCAGGAAGCGCATGCGAATGCTAAGAGCACTGAGCTCTTGAAAAACGCAGGTCGAAACATTGAGTCAAACTGACTACTGATGATGTTTGCTATGATGCATGCTGCAATCTCTGGTGCTGGATGGATTGATACGTGGATGCGCACTATAGGACGCAGGACCCTGGGAGACTCATGATTTGCAAGACGGGCCTGAAAGGGCTTGTGATTTTGAAGGGCCTGCGATTTCGAAGGGTCCTCTGGGATCTCGAAGGGTGCTGAGGGTCCCCAGGATTTCGAAGGGCCCTCAGAATTTGGAAAAAACCTGAAACTGTCATACCTGGTGATTTCCACAGGAAATTTTGAGCTCGTGAGTCCTGCAGGGTGTTTTGGGGCCTCCCGAAAGCCCAATGGAGGTCTCAATGGAGCCTCGGAGCCTCCCTCAACCTTCCCACCACCTTCCCGGTTCGTTCCCGGTTCGTTCCCGGTTCGTTCCCGGCTCCTTCCCGGCTCCTTCCCGGCTCCTTCCCGGCCTCGTTTTTGTAGGTTTTTCATATATATATATATAGGTTTTCCTCGTTTCGTTACCGCCATGTTCCCGCCATGTTCCCGCCATGTTCCCGGTTCCTTCCCGGTTCCTTCCCGCGTTCTTCCCGCGTCCTGTTTGGGCCTTTCGTAAAGCCTACCTGACGTTTTTTTGGATTTTTCTGGTCTGAGAGGCCCTTGGAGAGAGCTTGGGGCTCTTGTGGGGCTGCTTAAGGGGTCTTGAAGGCGTTTGAGGCGTTCTTGGCGGACAGAGAGCACTCTACGCATTTCCGAGATCATGAAACAGCCGTCGCGCTGCATCCAGCGCCCTGAGGCAACCCCTAATTTGCCTCGTCAGCGCTGAGCTTCCCAGCGCACCCTTGGCGAGAGTGATCTCTCGTAGGTTAAGAGAAGCACGCGAGCACCCAAGCCGCCAGCAGTCGTGACTATCAAATCCTGAGTCCCTCCCTCCTCCTTCACTCCTCCTGCTCCTCCTCCTCCTCATCCTCCTCCTCCTACGCCTCCTCCTCCTCCTCCTACTCCTCCTCCTCCTCCTCCTCCTCCTCCTCCTCCTCATCCTCCTCATCCTCATCCTCATTATCGTCCTCCCTCCGATCAGCTGCGGCAGCGGTGCAGCAAAAGTGCAGCCCCTGCTTGTCAAGCCTATCTACTCGCTGGTGTTCCCCTCGCTGTCGTTCTGCAGCTCGCGCAGGCTGCGGATCTTCTTGCACTTCCGCTGGATCTCCTCGCAGTCAGCCTGAAAGTTCTCGCATGTGGCGGAGATCGCGGCGAGGTCGGAAGACGAGTCCAGGCTGAAATCGGCCCCGTCGAACACCGCCTCGGACCAGCCTGGCTTCTTGTTCAGCTTCACGGACAAAGCGTCGCGGCACCGCTTCAAGGCGCCATCAAACTTCTCGTTGTCCTTGAACATCTTGTATTCGTCGCCCTCGTTCTGTTCGATCTTCTGCAGCAGCGAGCGTGCCTATTCAGGCCCGAGCTTCAAGCCAGACCTCCAGACCGACGCCCGCCTCCTCCAGCTCTTCACCACTCAAGGTGGACAGGGAAGAGCAGGATGGGGGAACGCAGGATGGCGGTTTGGATTGTTGTTCGGAGCGCTGCGCCTGGGTCAACGAAGCGCCGCAGAGCCTCGCCGTGTCCACCACCTTCGCGTTCACGCTCTTCAAGGTGAGGTTGACGACCTTCCCGCCCCTGACGGCCTGGGCCTTGCCCTTCGCCTTGCCCTTCGCCTTGCCCTTCGGCTGGCCCTTCGGCTGGCCCTTCGCCTTCAGCTTGGGGACAGCCGCGGGAGACGTCGGAGTCGCCGCCGCCGATGCTGCTGTCCAGCCGTTCTCCTCGGCCGCAGCCTCTGGCGCATCGGACTTGCCCTCTGGCGACGGCGACACCCCTGCAGAGGTTGCAGGAGCGTCCTCCTTGGATGTCTTGTCTGGCGTCTCCGCGGGCTGGGTCGGCGGTGCTGTAGATGGAGTGTGGATCTGAGGAGTGCCAGAAGAAGCGCTGCCAGCACTTGCCGATGCTGCAGACTCGTCGGCATGCTCCTGCTGGGTCAAATTCTTGACGCTTCGCGTCTCCCCACCAGCCCATCCAAAAACTATGCCTAGGCGAATTGCGGTGATCAGGGAAGTGAGGGAGCATACAGAGTAGCAAAGGGCTTGGGGGACCCGTCTTGCCCAAGAGGGCGAGGATGGAGGAGGAGTCGGAGGAGGATGAGGAGGAGGAGGAGGAGGAGGAGGGGGAGGAGGGGCAGCAGGTGGGAAAAGTGGGAGGAGGGAGGAGGGGGAATAGGCGGATGATGAGGAGGAGGGGGGGGGGGATGAGGAGGATGAGGAGGTGGAGGAAGAGAAGAGGAAAGGAGGAGGAGGATGAGGCTGATAAAGTGGAGGAGAAGGAGGAGGAGTAGGCCGACAAGGAGGAGAAGGAGAAGTAGGAGGATGAGGAGAAATATGAGAAGGAACAAGAGCAATTACGTGCACAAGAGCCTCCTAGGATGTCCCTTGTAAGTTGTTTTGGAGTCCTCTTGGAGCGCCTGGGGGATTCTTGGATGCCTCGGGGATCCTCTTGAGGCCTCTTGGGGGTCTAGGGAGCCTCTTGAGGGCATCTTGGGGGCCTCTTGGGGCCTCCTGGGCGCCTCGTGAGGCCCTCTTGGGGCGCTCTTGGGAGCCTTGGGGGCGCTCTTGGGGCCATCTTGGAGGTGATCGATCAAAGGAAAGGGGTCCCCCAATTAGCGTCCCCCCTCGGGAGCCTCTAAAATCGCCCCTTGGACCCCTCTTGGGACGCTCTTGGAGCGCTCTTGGGCGCTCTTAGGGCCGTCTTGGGGCCATCTTGGGCCCCTCTTGGGGCCCTATTGGGCCCTCTTGGAACCATCTTGAGGCCTAGAATGGCCGTCGGAAGCGAAAAGACGAGAAAGCAAAACACATTGATTTCCCTAAGGTTTTGGAGCCCCTCTTGGGGGGCCTCCTTGGGAGGCTACGTGGCCAATTGGAGTCGTCTTGGGGCGGTCTTGGGGCCTTTTGGAGCATCCTCGGGGCCATCTTGAGGCGTCTTGGGCAGTCTTGAGCCATCTTGGATGTCATCTTGGGCTCTCCGAGGCCCTCTTGGAGCCACCTTGCAAGGTGGCTCCAAGAGGGCCTCGGACGCTCCCAACTACCAGCGAAACCCCCACGTCCAGGTCCAGGGGAGGGGGTTAGGGGGAGGGGTGAACCCCTCCCCGAAGGGGAAGAAGGGCAGAGAGTCCAGAGGTCTGGTGGGATTCTTTGAACACTTCTGGTCCTCCCCCCTTCCACACTCTCTCATAGGAAGGGGTCGGGGGGTGGGGGGAGGACCAGAAGTGTTCAATGAGCTTGATGCTGAACCCTGGTGTCCTGACGCTGGCGGCACTGCCAGGTCTTGCGGAACGCCTTCCTGTCCTTGTCGCGCTGGTACCGGAACTCCAACCTCTTGGAGCGCCTGTTCCTGCGCACGTGCTTCTTCCCCTTCCTGATGCAGTCCAACGCTATGTTGAGACTGCCTCGGCGGACTGCCACGCTGTGGTGTCCGCCTTCTGCCGCCATGATGGCGTCGATGTTGAGCCACTCACCTTCCTCAATGTCCTCCTGGACCGACTCGACCAGCTTCTGGCGGTCCTCCTGAACATAGGCAGCTTTTCAGTGTGTGCTTGACCGTGCTACTTACGCATCAAAAAACTTCTTCTCCTCTCCTTCGTCCCACGTCCTCCCACTCCCTCATGATCCCCTCCTCCTCCCCCTCGTCCTCCTCGACCTCCTCCTCCTCCTCCTCCTCCTCCTCCTCCTCCTCCTCCCCCTCCTCCTCATCCCCTTCCGCCTCCTCCTCCTCCTCCGCTTCCTCCTCCTCCTCCTCGTCCTCCTCCTCCTCCTCCTCCTCCCCTGGGGCCTCAAAGGTTCTGGAGCCTCAAAGGTTCTGAAGCCGAGCCAGGTCCCTGGAGCCTCAAAGGTTCTGAACTAACATTGCCCCCCCGTGCGGTCCTTGTACTTCTCGAACTTATCGAAGATCCACCTCCTGCACATGTCACCCTTCTCGGTCTTCGTGGCCGCGTCGTACTTGGCCTTCTCCTCAAGCTTCTTGGCCAAGTACCTGGGGGAACGGCGAGGGGATAGGGTTGAGGGGAGAGGGTTGAGGGAGAGAGAGAGAGAGAGAGAGAGAGAGAGAGAGAGAGAGAGAGAGAGAGAGAGAGAGAGAGAGAGAGAGAGAGAGAGAGAGAGAGAGCAGAGAGGGGAGAGGGCTGAGGGGATTGCAGGGCTCAAGCAGGTTTCGAAATCCACGACGTTCGGGGCAGAGGTTACAGTAGTAGAGCAGTCGGAGAGAGAGAGAGAGAGAGAGAGAGAGAGAGAGAGAGAGAGAGAGAGAGAGAGAGAGAGAGAGAGAGAGAGAGATGAGGAGCAGGAGGAGGAGCAGCAGCAGCGGAACCAGCAGTCATTAGACGCCGAGGAGGGGTAGGAGGGAGCAGGATCGAGGAGGAGGAGGAGGAGCTGGAACAGGAGGAGGAGGAGGAAGATGAGGAGGTGGGGGAGGAGAAGGAGTTGGAGGAGGGAGACCTCCTCCTCCTCCTCCTGCTCCTCCTTCTCCTCCTCCACCTCCTCCTCCACCTCGTCATCCTCATCCTCCTCCCCCCTTCCTTTCCCGAGGCACAGTCTGTACCGCTTCCCCAGCGGCGAGTTGGCGTCCGTCTTGCCGCCTGGCTTGACGGCGGCCTCCAGGTTCGGGTCGTAGGTGTCCTCGAGCTCCTTCAGGATGTGGGGCGGGATGTCCTGCTCCTGCACCTCGGGTTCGGCCTCCGCCAGGCCCGACTCCAGGAACGCCTTGACCAACACCTCGTCCATGTTCTCGGTGCCGTCCGTGGCCGCGCTTGGCAAGGCCTCTGGGCCTGCGCCCGGCGACGCGCCTGAGCCCGATACCATGCTCTCCAGCATGACCTCCAAGTCATCAGTACCACCAGTGCCAGCTGCCAACTCTGCTCCGAGCCGCAAGCCTTGTGCCGATGCCTCCACAAGCTGCAAGCCCAACCGCTGCGAATCGTCAAGGCTGGCCTGCTGCAGCGGCTGAGGCTCCTGGGACGCGAGCGCGGCGTCCTGCGGCGGCGAGTCCTGCACCTCGATCGTGACATCCTGGGGCTGCGTGCCAGCTGGTACCAGCGCATCTGCACGAATGTAACCATGACGCGTATCAAAGATATAATCGCCACCACGTGCGAACTCGGCTGCGACGTCGTCATTCTCGGGCAGCGTGTGACCCGCCTCAATCTGCTGCTCCTCGAGAGTTGCACCTGCAGCATCCTGAGTGTTGGGCTCGTTCGCGGGCAACGGAGAGAAGCTGCGACGGCCCCAGCGAGGGCGCTGAGCTATGCACGCAGTCAGCGTGTTCTGCAAGGGCTGCGCGGCAGCAAGGCGAGCACCACTGCGAGGGCACTCCTGTAGGGGCAGCCGAGTTCGCATCCTCCTTGCTCCTCCTCATCTTTCTCCTCCTGCTCCTGCTCCTCCTCTTCCTCCTTCTCCTCATCCTCCTCCTCCTCCTCCTCCTCCTCCTCCTCCCGTGCCTCCTCGCCCTCCTCCTCGTCTTCAATATCTTCGTAGTCGGCTCGTGATCCTTCTCCGCCTCCTCCTCCTGCCATCCTTCTGCTGCAAATGCTGGTGCGACTGCTGCTCCTCCTCCTCTTCCTCCGCCTCCCCCTCGCCATCCGCCTCCTCTGGATTCTCTGCCCCACCGCCCCCCCCCCCCGTGCGGAGAGGGGGGAAGGGGGATTGGGGGGAGGCATGGGGGCCGAACATACAACTGATACTATAGGCATGCAGGGTGGATGTGGGTTAAGCGTTTCGCAAGGCGTCCTCATCGCCGAAGGCGGCGAGCTCAGACTTGCGCATCGCCATCCTTGTGTCAGGACTCGGGGACTCGGTACCCTTGAATCCTCGAGTCTACAGGGGCTACGGAATAGTGAAGATAACGAGTGGCATCCCAGACGGCGTGCGAGGGAGCAGGAGGAGGGGAAGGAGGAAGGGGGAGGAGGAGAGGGAGGAGGAGGAGGAGGAGGAGGAGGATCGAAGGAGGTGGAATGGGAGCGGGAGGGGAGGAGGAATAGGAAGAGCGAGAAGAGAAAGAGGGGGCCAAATGATGCTACTAGCAAGGTCACGGTGGAATCGTGAGAAACAGATCGGTTCTCCCCCCCCGTGTGCTTTTTGAAATCAAAGGGGTTACGATCGAAAATCAGTTGAACGTCTTCCAGGCGGGGTGGTGGTGGTTGGTTTGTGGTTGACGCCCCCTCAGACTACATTTGATGACCTTGGAACCGACACCGATAACAAGCTGGTCGGGGGAGGGTAGCCGAATCACGGGTCGTATTCGTGAACGGCCTCGCTAGCCCCCCTGATCGTTACAGCAGGGCTTTACAGTTAATGCCATTCGTTTCTCGTCCTCACCTCCCCGCCTCATCTTCATCCTCAGTATCCTCATCCTCGTCACCCTCATCCTCATCCTTCTCAAGCTGTAGTCCTCAAGTGCGGTGCCATGGTTTTTTTCAGAGTTTTATCGTCCTGAGCCCCGATGTCCATCCCCACACCTACTCGGAATCTGAGAAGTGCGGGGGGCTAATCTCCCCTGCCGCCGCCGCAACCTCGGACGCCTGCGGAGTCGCAGGGGTCGTCCTGATCTTCTCCAGGGGGGTGCTCGGCGCGAGCTGCTGCGTGCCCGTGGTGGCGGCAGAAGACGCGTTGGAGCTGCTGGCCAGGTCGCTCTTGCCCCCGTCGGCGCCCCCCTCGACGCTGACCTTGCCCTTGGGCTTGGCCTTGGGCTTGCTGACGGGCTTCGGGACGCCGTGCTCCTCGATGACGGTTTTGTCGATATCGACCGTCTGCTTGCTCCTCGCGCCCGTGGTGCGGTGAGCGCGCCCTTGGTTCTCGATCGGCATGGCCGCGGACTTGTCCTCCAGATCTCGTATGTGGGCCGCCACCTTCAAAGTCTCGTAGAC